GACATTTAGAACAATTAATCAGTGGGATAACTTGCCTCTAGAAGTTGTGAAAGCTCCAATACGGGAAGGTTTAAAGAATATGTTGGATAACCATTTGTCGGAAGTGATGTAGGGTTTCCTGTCTAGGCAGGGGGTTGGACTAGAAGACCTCCAAGGTCCCTTGCAACTCGGTTATTCTATTCTATTCTATTCTATTCTATTCTATTCTATTCTATTCTATTCTATATAGAGTCTATAGACCATTATTACAGGTAGAACTCGAGTTACAACATTTCACTCAGCGGCTGTTCAAAGTTTCAAGGGCATTGAAAGAGGGACTGAGCATTTTTTTTCACACTTAATGACCACTGCAGCATCCCCACGGTCACATAATTTACATTCGGATATTTGACAACTGACTCACCTTTGCAGTGTCCTGCGGTTACGGCTAATACTTCGAACAACTGTGACCAACTTAACAACGGCAGCAATTCGCTTAACAGATGTGGCAAGAAAAGTCGTAAAACGGGGCAAGACTCACTTAACCGATGTTTCACTCAGCAACATAAATTTCGGGCTCCGTTATGGTCGCAACTCGAGGGTTATCTGTAGGGTCCCCTAAAAGTTGTTTTTCTTAACTTCGGAAGGATGGGTGGGCTTCAACTCCGAGTATTCCCCAGCCTGCCTTAGCTCGGGGCCCGTAAGTTTTACAACTGACTTTAGTATATGCACAACGACATCAAGGCCAATTAAAAAAAAAAAACACCAGCCAGGATTCCCGGTGCTTCCTTCTCCACCCAACTTTGATGGTGCGCCCCCAAAAGAGGCGAATTGCAAGATTTTTGCACATCCTTTGAGCCTCGTTGCTGGCCCGTGGAAGGAAGTTGCCCCCCCCCCCACCCGAGCGATGTCAGAAGTCAGCGAACCCATCAAAGGCTCGGCTGGAAGGGAAGCGTGTAAGTGCCAATGAGGTTAACGTTGTAGGGAAGGACTCTTTTCATCTAACCGAATGGAAAAACTGGCACCGGCGTTCTCGTCCAGCAGGAAATGGACTTTACTTTCCTCTGCAATCATTTTATAGTACTCCACGCGCTACTCAAATTCGGCAAAAGGGGACAGATGTGACGGCAGCTATAGGATAGCAAAACTCATAAATGAGAATTCTGCACGAGCCAGCAGGATGTGGCTTCCAAGCTTTGATTAAGGGATATGGACATTACTACGCATTGATGGCGCAGTGGGGNGGATGGTGAATGGCCCCTCCCATAGGGAATAAAAGAGGAGCAAAAGGGGAGTGGAGTTTGCAGGAGACAATCAGTTCCGTTCATTCAGGTGAAGATCTGTTCCTGACTTCTTGCCAAGAAATTGCTGCTACAGCATGGAGTTTAGAAGTTATCAGCCTGGCAGCTCTCCAAGCCTGATAAAGGTGTGTGGTTGTGAAATCTCACGAAAGACTGTTTGCCGGGACTTTGCTGGAGAGGAATTCCCTTTAACCTAAATAAAAGCGGTTTTACTGGGAGTCGGCTTCACGATCTTAGGAGGCCTAAATCAGAACAGGACTACTGTGTGTAAATTAAGGAAGATCAAGATGCAGGCATTTTCCAACGTTACAAACGGACAATGAGGGTACCATGGATTGGATTGGGTAGGGCAGGGGGTCTCCACACCTGGCCCCTTTAAGACTTGTGGACTTCAACTCCCAGAATTCCTCAGCCAGCTTTGGCTGAGGAATTCTGGGAGTTGAAGTCCACAAGTCTTAAAGGGGCCAAGTTTGGAGACCCCTTGGGTAGGGTGTATCCAGAGCGTCCTTCAAAAAAAAAAAAAAAAATTCACACAAACTTTTCCAGCCTAGACCAGACGAGAAAAAACTCGTACCGTTCCCCTCCATGGGCGTCCCTGAATCGGTGAATAAAGTGCTCATAATTTTGTCAAAGTTGCAGCTCGGCTCGGTGTTGTCCGAATCCTCGGCGAAGTGTTTCAACATCTCCCGCAGAACGTCATCTAGAGAAGTGGCCGTCTCGTCCAGAATGATGCTCGCTCTGGCCAGGAATCCGTCCAGGTCACGGTGGGCTCTGACCTCCTCCTCAAAATTCTTTAATTTTAGGTACTGCAAGGAAAAACAGAAAACAGAAAACGGGGGAAACAATGTTTTGTCTCTGGTACGAGCCACAACTCTGGAAAAAAAAACTTTTTTCTTCATCACCTGGGGTGGGTGCGAACGCAGCGACACGTCTATTTATTTATTAAATTCATCTTCCTCTCATCTCACCATCGAGTGGCAATTTATTTATTTATTTGTTTGTTTATTTGTTTNTGATAAATAAATAAAGGGAGACTAGTATAGATCTATTTCAAGCTATTTAGCTCTCATCAGCTAGCCATACCCTTACTGGGATTTGAACCTGGGCTATATATATATATATATACTTTATTTACTTCATATATATATGAAGTAAATAAATAAAATGAATTAATAGTTCCTAGGAAAACTACTCAGAAATGAGGTCTGTGTATATTAATCTTATGGTACTACTGCATAGTATTTCATACTGTAGTTGAAGTACAAATTAATTGCTTCAGAGCAGGTCCCCCAGCCTAGAAAATGATGATGATGATGATGATGATGATGATGATGATGATGATGATGATGATGATGATGATGATGGAAAAAAATGATATATTGCTTACATCACCCCAGAGCTTAGCTTTCTATTAAATCATGATGTTTTTTACCCCTTGGAAATAAAAAAAAACCCTGCTCTTTTAAAACCATTGTTTGATAATGACCTGGATTACACACGATAATTCATTCCCGGCTAATGTGGAAGTGGCCTCCCATCCAAGCGGGAGGCATAAAATTACTTTTAAATCACTTTCAGAAATAATTCGGTGCTTCTCGGTGCATTTATGGCTCCTGCGGAGATGGGGAAACGTTTCATCCCGAGACAAAACGGCTGGCACAAAAGCCAAGTGGCCATTTGCCAATTTAGTACAGAAGAACTGGCTTTGGAAGGGACCCAGAGGTCTTCTAGTCTAACCCCTTCTCAAGCAGGAGACCCTATACCAGTGATGGCAAACCTATGGCACACGGGCAGGAAGTGGCGCGCAGGAAGTGGCGCGCCAGGAAGCTGAGCTTCCGGTTTCTGGAACGCACAGGCATGCCAGCCAGCTGCTCTTCACATGCACATGGAGGCCAGAAATCAGAAGACCAGGTGGCCGGCGCACATGTACACGCCAGAAACAGGAAGCTGCTCTTTCGGATTTCGGTGGTCCCCCGCGCACACTCCCGTTTCGGCACTCGGTGCCGAAAAGGTTCGCCAACACTGCCCTATAGCATTCGAGCTGGCACAGTGGTTAGACGGCAGCACTGCAGGCTAATTCTGCTGACTGCCAGGGGTTTGATCCCCGCTGGCTCAAGGTTGACTCAGCCTTCCGTCCTTCCGAGATCGGTAAAATGAGGACCGAGATTGTTGGGAGTTTTTTGGGTGATCCTAGGGATTAGAGAACCAGTTTGGTGAAGCAGTTAAGGTGAATCAGCTAGAAACCAGGAGACAGTGAGTTCTAGCATTGCCTTGGGCATGAAAGACACCTGGATGACTTTCAGCCGACCACCGGGAGAGAGTGAGTTCTAGTCCCCCCTTAGGCATGAAAGCCAGCTAGGTGACTTTGAGCCAACCACCAGGAGATTGATTATTTTCAAGGCGGTCATAACTCTGAACCGTCACAAAATGAACTGTGACTGTCGAGGAATGGCTCAAAAAATATAAAGATTGGGAAATGTCCACCATGTACCATATTCTGCCTAGTTCAGTGACGGCTGATCTTTTTGTCTTTTCGTGGGCCGAAAGTGCGATAATGCAATGCGCAAGCGACACCGCATAAGCCCCCCCCCGGCGCATCCATGCGCAACCCCCACGCCCCATTTTGGGCCTAGTAGGCTTCCTTGGAGCCTCCTGGGACCAAAAATGAGCCACGGGTGGAGGGGCGCTGCAGCCCCCACTCCCCCCCCTACTCATGCACATGCGACTCCCCCCACTGCCCCCTCATGCATGCATGCGCATCTCCATCATGCGCCCCGTCCCCGCGCGTGCACAACAGAGACCCCAAAAACCAGGCTGGCCCGGCAGGAAGTGCGCACACATGCGCAGTGGAACTGAGCTGGGGCAATGGTGCGCGTGCCTGCAGAGAGGGCTCTGAATACTACATGTGACACGCATGACATATGTTCGGCATAACGGGCCTAGATCCTGAAAATTGGGCAAGGGTCCATGATTTAAAGAAATTCCTTGGATAAAGATGTGAAAGAATATACAGCCACCACTACAACGGACCCCCAAATTTGTACGGCTGAGCAAAGCAGTGAGTTTTGCTCCATTTTACGACCTTTCTCGCCACGGTCGTTAAGTGGATCACGTGGTCGTTAAGCCAATCTGGCTTCCCACACTGACATGTCCAGCTGGGGAATTCTGGGAGCTGAAGTCTGCAAATTTCAAAGCTGACAAGGTTGGACATGCCGGCTCGAAGACGTTTTGATTTAAGTTAAATTTATTTCATTTTTTTAAAATTTATTTTTTGGCAGTGAGCCCTTCCTGGCTGTAGGTAACTCGCATATATGTCAGTTAATGCCTCCAATTTTCCCTCAGAAATTTTTTCACAACACTTCCTTGGGGACTTGTTAAAGAGAAATCTTCTCGCACGCCCAGCCCACAGCCGTAAACAGCTAAAATTGTCTTTTCCAGCTCAAAATTACCTCCACCTAGTTTGAAACCTTCCAACTAGAAGGTGAAAAAACAGAAGGAAAAAAAAACAAACACCATACTTGAATACTTCAAAATAGGGTGTTTTGAATCCAAAAATGTTTGGAACTCAAAAGTGTGTATATGCACACGCCTCACGTCGAACAAAATGTCCTTTTTGCAACCAAGAAATTCCCCATTGTAAGGATTCGTTAAAGCTTTCGGGAATACAATACAATAGCAGAGTTGGCAGGGACCTTGGAGGTCTTCTAGTCCAACCCCCAACTTAGGCAGGAAACCCTATACCGTTTCAGACAAATGGCTATCCAACATCTTCTTAAAGGCTTCCAGTGTTGGCGTGATCAGAAGCACCAAAGGGGACGCATAAATCACGGAATAATTTATTCTAAACCAGGTCTGAATTGGAACTAGGCGCAGCGTGTTCCATGTGTAAATATACCACAGCAAAGATTTACACTTAAGACGCCAAAAGGCATTAGAATATAGAATAACAGAGTTGGACGGGACCTTGGAG